AATTTACAAGCTTCAGAGTCATCAGTAACCTTTGGCTCTACTTTGGTCGATTTTCGAATCCCATTTGGTAGTTCCGTTTGAGAAAAAACACACGTAACACGAGAGTCTTTCCGATCAAGCCCCCGTTACTGCATGTATAGAACCATTGATCTGTTTAATTCTCGCCAGCAATTCATAATGTTGGGCGATTAGGTGTATTAGCCACGCTACCAAATCCTATACATCATCTGTATTGAGAGCAAATTATAACAAGTATTTAAATCTGGGTATAAATAAACACTTAAGCCTGTACCGTTTCCACTGTGAGGGGTTTTACCCCTGCCAAGATGGTAAAATGTTTTGTTTTTATGTAAAAAGATGGTCCACTGATTATGGGTTACGTCTTTGAAGTTTAAAACAAAGAGGTCTATGAGGGACAAATTGTCAGGAACAAAATGGTACAGGATTATGTTTTGATTTATGTAAACGATATTGTCACTTTTTTGTGGACAAAACATTCCAGGTGTCTTACAAACGTCTTTCACAATTGAATTTCATGTCATTTATATCATTTTGTTTATTTACTTCATTCACCGTTACCTGTCATGTTTCCTTTGAAGGTATCGCAGGTTCTTTTTTTTAATTATCAGCTATAGTTTGCATGAATTTTGAAAACACAATAATACCACAATAGCATGAAAACTAGAAGCTACTATTAGGTTTGGCCACAGGAGGGGAAAAGAAGGGTGAATTTCTCTCTTTGGTCAACTTGGTCATTAAAATTGGATCAAGATATTCTTGTAAGATGAGTTTTCAACTAACAATAAACTTGAAAAGCTGAATAATAAATAAAAAGTGTTAGGGTCGGTTGACATCAAAATCTGGAAATCCCTACCAACGTTGATAAAAGGGTAATCTTTCCACATTTATGTATTAATATTATACTTTCATGTAAATTAGTAGAATCTGATTCGTCGAGAAACATTTGTTAAAAAACACTATTACCCGTTGAATAACGAAGCCACGCCCTCCAGCGTAGCAACAGTTAACATTGCTTGACGACGGGTCTTATTCCAAAAATATCGACTGCGCAGAATTCATGCGCACAAGGTTCACTGTAATATGTATTTGTGTAAAACATTCAGTATAATATAATAAATACTGCATGTAGTTGAGTGTAACATTGAAAATTTTCACCCCTCGAAAACCATTGTCAACTTCGGCTGCGCCTCTGCTGACAATGGTTTTCTTGGGGTGAAAATTTTCAATGTTGCACTCAACTACATGCAGTATTTATATAATATTCCACTATAACCTGCTTATGGTGTTTATGTCTCCCAACTTAATCTCTACTCAAGAGCTTGCTCTGAGTAGGAATATTATTAAGGCAAGGCATGCTACTCACTGATAAGTTGATGTAACCGGTCAAAAGGGGATGCTTACTTCTCCTAGGCACCTGATCCCACCTCTGAGTCCGTGTTTTATGCCTTCTTCACATATTTGCATTGTTTATATTTTTTATGAGATCGATCACTGTTCGTTATTTTCATCTTTTACATTCATACTTCGAGAAAGAAGACACAAAAATAAGAAGAAACGAATTGGTGGGTGTGAGCTACATTTGTCCAAGAAAGTCATCTGCACCTGTCAAAAAAAGAGCTTCTGGTAAAGTCAGCTGCATTGAGCGGCATTTGTCCAAAACAGTGTTTCATGTAAAGTCAGAGGCATCTAGCGGTATTTGTACAACACAGTGTTTCTTCTAAAGTCAGCGGCATTTAGTAGGATTTGTCCAAGGCAATGCTTATGGTAAAGCCAGTGGCATTTGTCCAACACAGAACCTGAGCAGCATTAAGCGCATTTATCCAAAACAATGCTTCTAGTACAGTCAGCGACATTGAGGGACATTTGTCAGAGACAGAGCTTCTGGTTAAGTCAGCGACATTTGTTCAAGACAGTGCTTAGAGTAAAGTAAAATCAGTGGCAATGGGCGGTATTTGAACAACACAGAGCTTCTGGTAAAGTCAGCGGCATTGAGGTTATTTGTCCAAGACAGTGCTTCTGGTAAAGTCAGCGGCATTGAGCGGCATTTGTCCAACATATTCTTTCTTGTAAAGTCAGTGGCATTGAGCGACATTTTAACAAGATAATGCTTTTGGTAAAGTCAACAGCATTGAGCGGCATTTGTCCAAGAAGTGCTTCTGGTGAACTCAGCGGCATTGAGCTGCATTTGTCCAACACAGTGCTTCCGGTAATGCGTCATTTGTCAAACAAGCTAGTTCTGGTAAAGTCAGCGGCAGTGAGGGGCATTTGTACAACACAAAGCTTCTGGTAGAGTCAGTGGCATTTGTCCAACATTGTATTTCTGGTAAAGTCAGTTGTATTCTGTAAATAACTGATAAGAACAGTTTACCTTTTATCATAAAATTACCATTTTCCACCATTTGCAGTAAAAAGTAACCATATACATGTATGTAAAATGTCATTCAATCCGCATTTTATAACCAGATATGCATGTTTGTCATTCTTTACAAATAAATCAAAGAAGCATGCTGCCCATTCTGTTACAGCAAACCAAATATTCCGTATAAATTAACTTAATAGAAAATGCTGCTTATCCATGTAAGTTAAGCACTTGGAGAATTCCTTATAAGTTAATCACATAAAAATGCCGCTTATTTTATATAAATTAACCATAATTAAATTTATAATATATGAACGGTTTCAACAAGCTTAATTTTTATACATCCTTTAGGGCAATAGGGACCCCTAGGACGAAAATGAAAGAAGAAGGTACGGGTTTAGCTTTATTGTGCCCTAAAAATTCAATTTTGTTTCAAAAAGTTTTAAAACTGGCTGAAGTATTAGTTGAGTATATTACAGTGATAAATCAGGAAAGAATATGGCATGAAGGTGTACCATTCTGGAAATATGACGTCATTAATTTGACTCATTTCTATATTTTAAACAGAAAAAGCCCTAAGATGACCCATTTCAAGGGTTATTTTTCTTAAGAAAATAGTGTCCACAGCCGTCGCCCACTTTAATTTTCGGATATGTTGTGTAAAATTCTTTGAAAAATCACATATCTCAAAATCATAGTGGGCGATGCCTGTGGACAATATTATCTGAAAGAAATTCCATTGAAAATTGGTGTCTTCTGCAAGAAAACTTTATTGTTTTTCTTGAGCATGTAACACCTACTATTAGTGAATAAGTGTTTCTCATCATTTAAAATGTATTTCAAATGTACCCATGTTTCTATTTATGTAGAGATATATTCTAAATAGTTTCTTTACTATAAACGGCATCATGGTGTCATGTTCTTGTGAGAATTGTTTGTTTTTCTTTGTCTTTATAAGACTTAATATAGATTAAAAGGAGCTGAAAATCTCAATTTTTCAAAAATTTTACGACTGTTGTCATGACAACCAAGACACATACATGTAGCAACCAAATTTATTTCGTATATTTTTCCGGTGCCAAGTTGTAATAAAGGGCAAAATTTCATCAAAATCGGTAACCATAAGTGGCGAAGAAGTTAAGTGGTTAAATAGAGTAGCTCTCAATATATTTAAGCGTAATAAAACAGTAAGCACGAAAGGAAAGGTAACCCTAATATAAAATTCACAGATAACTGTTGTATAAAGAGTAGAAAAGTTAAACGTTTTGATGTTACTGACGTTCGGGAATTTTGTGATTTTAAATTTTCTAAAAGTTCTCTAGAGTTTTGAGAATTTGATTAAAACCACTCTAGAATTTCAAGTTTAATCGCGTAAAAGTACTTTAAGGTGAGATGTGAGCAGTTTAAAATACTTGTATAATATTTTCCTTTGTTCTTACAATTCTGCAACCTAGAAGTGATACACTGATTATGGATATTAACTGTATATTTGGCCTAATAGCAGCGTAAAAAATATTACATGTTTTCTTTTCTTTACAAAAGAGTAAGGAATTAAGTACCCAGTTTAATTTTAAACAACCAAAGTAATGTATTACAGGATTTTGAGAATTAAATGATATTTATAATAGGGACTTATATTTAAGATCATTATATAAAATGAGATGATTTTCAACACAAACTTGATCGCAAATGAGATGATTTAAAAAAAAAAAATCTTATTTCAAATAAAATTATTTTCAAAACAAACTTCAATCTTTTTACCTTTTTGTAATCTTTGTAGAGTTTTGAAAAAAATTTAAAAAATCATTTAAAGTTGTGTTTCATGAAAGTGTCAATTCTTTATTTATTTTTTTTTTTTTTATTAAATCGTTTTTCATTTTTACTCGTATTATTATTATTATTATTATTATTATTATTGTACCTTTGTATCTTTAAAGAACACTTCATCATATGTAAAATAAAAAAAAGGTATCTTTTTACGCATAAAAGGAGGATGTAACACATGTTTAACAACTGTTATTTTCATCTTTAATTATTGTCAAGGAGGTAATGACCTTGGCCTGATTAAATTACTAAAATAAAACAGTCAAATTTTATTTAATTGATATTGATTTCTCGAATCTGGGAAAAAAATCATTATAATTTATAATGTATTTAATTTTTTAAATACAATGTGTATGACAAGTATTCATCCTTAATGCTTTTGAATTCTTCTTGAGTCAAACAAAAATATCCATTAGTTGTAATGAAAACATGCATTTAGTAAAAACAAACTGTTATATCAAAACAATAACTCTGCATTTTCTGCTACAAATGAACTATAACAACAAACAAAAAAATCAAACAAACAAAAAAGTTAACAAAATGATAATGAAAAAAGCTAATTTCTGTCATTTTCATTTATTGGCATGCAGCAAATTAAAAATAGGGTTGGCTGAAGATTTTTTTTTATTTAATGATTATTCATTCTTAAAAATGATAATTTCATCAAAATGTCATCAAAATATGTCTGTACATCGTGTACTACAAACTTTGTTTCCAGTGTTGTATGTAGTATTCCTGTTTATCTGTTTATCTGAGTTGTGGATTATTGATAAGAGCAGTATATGTCATTTCGACAATGGCATTATTTTCCAGAGGTTGGTATTTTCCAGTTTTCAATATTAATTTCATGTATGCATGTTTGTTTGCGTAAAGGTCAAGGTTTCTATGATTAAACATTTTTTTAATTCTTAATTCTTCTTTAAACATACATATATTAATTAAAGTTATTTTTTTTATCTTCTAGCATTGAGTCTTCACCTTTTATCAACGGTCTGTACTTTAATTTTAGGTGTTGGAGGTAAGAGTCTTATTTTTGCACAACTATGAATGGAATTAGTTGCCCAATATTTTCATTTAATGGAGAGTTTAAGTCAGTTTTTTTTTAATTTGATTGAATCTTCATACAATTTTAACTTTATATTTGCTTCCTCTTAAAAGATACTTGTTAAGACTAATTTGATTTCAAATGTTTAGTGGGAAGTTATTTACTTCGTTAAAGCCATATATGGCGTATTTTTGATAAGTTCAGATAACCAAAATCAAAAAGTTCTTTCTATTTGTTTTATTACTTTATATAAAGATAGAATTCTACCGTAAGTACACAATTTAAATCCATCGCATTTCATAAATAAAAAGAATTTAAAACAAAAACCGATTTATTAATCAACTCCACATTTAAATATTAGACAAATTTAAAGTCAATTTAATTCTAGAAATGTGAGGCTATTCAAGTTCAAAATCGGTGAATATTTTAATTTGAATGTAAATAACATTTACATACATATCTACACTCAATCTCGTATCATTATTTTTTAGCTCAGATATGCCGTATATAGCTTTTAAACATGTTTTATATTGGATTCATCACTTTCAGCTGCGGAACCATTGTTCTGTTTAAGTTGTTCCTCGGTGATCTCCCCTCGTCATTGTCATAATATAAGGAAATGTGAAGAAGGACAGGTACTTTTTTAACACATCGATTATTAAAAGAAAAAGTAGTCTTTAGTCTTTTAAAAACTATTATAAAATGTTCAAATTAATAGCTGGCAAGAGTTTATATATATATATATATATATATATATATATATATATATATATATATATATATATATATATATATATATATATATATATATATGTATGTATGTATGTATGTATATATGTAAGTATGTGTGTGTCTACTGATATAAAATGTATAGGGTGAGATTTTGTATAATATAAAACAATCATCATTTTTTGTCGATTCATGCTAGTTTGTGTTGAAATAATTTCCAAAAAATCAAAGTACTTACATGGATTATATTGTATCTGTGTTGTAATGTTGTTCATTAAATGATTTATTTTCTACAGTTGTATATCTTGAGTTAGAAAAAATGATAGATAATTTTTCTTCTAACGGGAATTTTGCTATCGATATAAATTGAAAAGACAAATAATAGTTTAATATTTTGAAGTACGCACAATACACTGTTTTTTTTGTTGTTGTTTTTTTGTTGTTTTTTTTTTAAATTTTCACTGGTAACCAACTTTCAAATACCTTGTATCTGCTTTTGCAGGTGTGCTATACAGAAAAGTTTACAAATTATAATGGCGAAACACTGTACGATGTCGGCTGCCACACAATGAGTGTAAGTAATTTTTAAAAAATTTAAAATTATCCCCGTTTTATTTTATTTGAATTTTTTTTTAAATTCATTTATTTATTTTCTTATATTATAGGAAATGAATCTTGATTTTTTTCTATTTATCCCACCTGTGATGCTTCCTTCAAATATATTTTTTCATACGCATTTTTTAGGTAGTGAATTCCTATGGTTTTGGCAATTAATAAAAAACTTACACAGCTCAGTCACAAGGATTTCTGTTCAAATTTTTTTTAGAGTCCAACTTAATGTATTGTATTTGAGGCTTAGGAGTTTCACTGTCTCCTAGCAAGGAAAATTGCATGATCAGTTTCGACTTGATAAAGGAAGATTATTCAGATATTGGAAAACAAGTTTGAATTATTGAAAGATTCTCATTCCTAATTATAAGCATTTTATTGAACTTATAATTAAGTTTTGAGAAACAAAGAGAAGCATATTTTATTTTACCAAAAATGCTCTCTGGAGCAATAAAGCACAAAGAAGTACATGTACAAAGTATTACAATTTTATATATCTTTTTATTTGATATTCAAGCTTTTTAAATTAGCTCAGTGTTTCAGTATTGTAATTTAACCAACGCTGGTAGCAGTCTTCTTGATATTACGTCGAACACGCAAATAAAACAGTGTGTTGAATGCTGTGACGGCAATGCCTGCAATAGTCATGGATGTAAATCTAAGGGTAAGCATTGCAGTGAGAACAAAAATAATGCTCTTTGATACCAAAAAGTTTAAGTGTCTGTTTGCCGTTTCCTTTTATAATTTATTAAACGAACGTAGAAAATATTAAGTTAATCATATTGAATATACTGTTGATAAGATTAAATTCTAGAAAAAATGATAGTTAACAATTTTCAGGTAAAAAAACAATTACGGTGTACCTTTTATTCAAACACAGACTACCCTGCAACCAGAGGTCCAATATGTTTTAGTTGTCAACAAACAACTGATCCCTCTTTGTGTAGAACAATCAGAGTTTGCAACGAAGATGAGGTAGTTAGATGAAAAAAGATATAATTTCATAGTGCACTAAATAAATATATATATAAAAAATATAATGCATTGATATCTTAATTGGTTTTGACCTCATGGAGTATTAAAAAAATAATGTAATACAAACATGAATATATACATTACAGTTCATCAAAAATAACGTAAATTTACAAAAGTCTTTTAGAAAAAGATTAATACAAGTACATCTAACATTGTTTCAGATACAGCTTACAAAATTAGAACTATTAAGTATTCCTGGGTATATTTTACTTATTATACAACACAGGTATGTCACCTTCACGAAATTCACGAATTCGGCGAACGTTTTTTCTCTTCCATGTGTCTTCAAAGACAGGTACGTATTTCTTTTTTAACCATTTGATTAAACGTTTTAAATGATTTTCAACTTTTTAAATGATTTTAGCACCACTCTTTCTATCAAAGCAGAAATCTTTTAATCAATGAATTTCCTGATAAAGTATGAATGTTTCTTATTGCAGTGTGCATTTTCATAGCAACTAAACAATAGTAAATAATAATTGGTTTCGAAAACTTAAAGAATTAAAGATAAAATGATTCCATCTTTTCTCAGAAAAGACTCAATAAAGGTGCAAGGATACTCACTGTGACCCCATTGTTATGATCGAATAAAAGTTTGATTATTTTACTTAATTTTCCTGTCCTTATCTCAAATGCATGTGCAAGTTTTAAATTTTTATGGAGCTTTTTCTATTTTCAGATTTGTGATGCTTATAATCCTGGAAGTTTATTTGGTAGAAAACGATTTGTACATACGTGTTCAATGTGTTGTGGAACCGACCTCTGCAATCACAACTGTAAGATATTTGAAACTTGTCTTGGTTTTGTAGTTTACTAATTTTTATTTTTAGATTTAAATGAGTACGCGACTAAAATCCTGTGCTTATTTTATTTTCCAAAATAAAAATCAGTAAACGATAGATTCGTTTTACTGTCATTGCATTTTTACATTTTTGAATTTGGCTTCATTTAGCAAAAACAAATAACCATTCACGGTAGATCAGTCGGTAGAGCGCTCGCTCCGTGATCGGGAGGTCGTGAGTTCGAATCTCGGCCGCGACTGACCTAAGTCGATAAAAAATGGGTAGCAACTGTTCCTTCGCCATGCACTCGGCACTTTGAAGTGAAAGTTGCGGGTCCTTCGGATGAGACCTAAAAAACCGAGGTCCCGTGTCACGGCAGGCGTTGGCACGATAAAGATCCCTCACTGCTCAATGGCCCTGAGTGCCGAGTAAAAGTCAAAATTTGAAGCCCTTCACCGGTATATGATGACGTCTCTATATGAGTGAAAAATTCTCGAATGGGACGTAAAACAACATACAATCAATCAACCAATCAAAAACAAATAGACTGACTTTTAATGTTACATAAGCAATCCAATAAACATGTAGCTTTCATCTTTATCGGTAGAACCTTTTCCCAATAAAGATGGAAAATTCTAAATGAAAGTAGACTGTCTGAATTTGTGAATAATCAAGAATTAAAAATAAATAGCTCTAAAACATTATTTTATAGACGTTATTTTTAATACGACGCCAGTCATTGTTTTCAAGGCAGAGATTAGCGTTGAAATAAAATTAGTATGAATGAGAAAGTCGAAGATAACGAATAGTGATCATCCTTAAAAAAAAAATCTACACAAATCCGTGAACAGAGCATAAAACACGGACCCCCGGAAATTCCAGAGGTGGGATTTTTGAATGTTGAAATAATATTTTGTTAATTTTATTTTTTTTTTTTCTCTTTTAAAAGGTGGACGTCTTCCAATTGACTGTTTGGATATCTATAAAAACGGTCAACGAATAACTGGTGTATACAAGATATACCCTTCCAAGGACTTTAATAAGCCTGTTCAAGTAAAATGTAATATGGATATACAAGGAGGAGGTTGGACGGTAAATGGCGTCATTTAAAAGTAAAAATTTAATCAATATCAGTTCTAGAGCTGGTAGAAAAATAAAATCTTATTGCTTTGAGATTGTCTACAAGAAGCTTTGCAGATATGCTAACAAAACAATTTTAGGACTAAGATATATTGAAGGACAAATCTATTAAAACATATCTTTATGTTTAAGCAGGCCAACGAAGATATCTTACCTTATAAGACTTCCTAATCTTAGACGACAAAATAGATAAATAGATAGTAGGAAATAAATATCGTGCAGGAGATTGATATTGAAGAAAAAAATAATTGCTCCTGTAACGCCAAAATAAGACGACTCTAATTCTTCTTTTGATTTTTTTATTATGATAAATAATTAAAACTATTGTAAACCTAAAAATAGGAAAATTTACAATTATTTGAATACATGTATTCTTCTCATTGATTTTCACAGACTATTCAGTTTAGGTCTCGGGACAACCCTCCTGTGGATTTCAAAGCAACATGGGATGAATACAAGAAAGGTTTTGGAGATGTTCAGGGAAACTATTGGTTGGGTAATAATGTTTTTTTTTATTTCGAAGTTTATTTTGAATATTATATTAATTTGTGAGAAAAAACCCTAACAGAAAAGCACAGAAAATGTAGTTTGCTATGGTAAAAAAAATGATTATTACGTTAAGTACTATAATACTTTGGTTTACTATAACACTGGTTTGATTCTATGACCATTTGCTATGAAACTTTCCTTTAGAATTTTTTAGAATTTAAAATCAGTAATAACTTAAGTTTCCAATTAATAATTTCAAACATAATCCTACACAGAATGTGGATCATTTTGGTCTAGAAGCTGTGAAATTTTTACTTGTCATACACTATCCATTTTATAAAGACAACTACGATGTTTGGAAATATTCATTCAGATATCTGAATTATGTATGCAAAGGGCGATGCCTACGAGAAACACCCTCTCTTCTACTGGTCACAAATATATGTACCTAATTATTACATGTAATCCAAAGCATTTACTGATGCATCGATGTTGAACCATTGTTGTACTGTAGCATAAAGGTGAAACAGTGAGTTCCTAGCATTTCTTAGAAAAAAAAAATTTCCAAAGTGATCGAAAAGAGAAAATCAAACAATTTATTTTGTCCACAGGAAACGATCTGATTCATCAACTGACCACAGTGTACAACAGTTCTCTGTATATAACGATGAAGAAGACGGATGGTCACGTGTATCATGCGCAATATTCATCCTTCTCAATCTCAAATGAGACCGATGGTTATCGTCTGTCGTTAGGAAAGTTTTCAGGAAACGTTTGTAAGTTTGGTTTTGCAGAAATATAAATTTTCTCCAAAAGCTTCAGACAGCAACCTGGAAAGAAAATTGTGTAAACTCAATTTCGTTAAATCAATTTAAATACTTGGCACTTGCTCTGTTTTTAGCTCACCTGAGCCGAAGGCTCAAGTGAGCTTTTCTATTCGAATAGGTCAGGCGTCCGTCTTCTTTCTTTCTGTTTGTCTTTTGTGTGCTGTCTTTCACCTTATCACACTCTCGGCTTCTTCTCCAGAACCACAAGGCCAATTTAAAAAAAAAAAAAAAACTTGTCACAAAGCAACCTTGGGTGAAGGAAATTTAAGTTTGTTCATAAAAAGGTTATTCCCTCTTTCAAGGGAATTTAATTAAGAATTCATGAAATTTGGTAGTATCTTCTAAAAATCTTCTTTTTAAGAACTACTGATCAAGAAAAGATGAAAGTTATTCATTATATACTGTACATTCAAGTTTCTTCATATCGATCATGACCCAGAGGGTAGTGCGGTGCCACAACAGAAGTCACAGTTTTAGAAAGGAATATATGTAGGAAATATCTTTTTTTAAAAACCTTCTTCTCAAGAACAGCTAAGTTTTTTATAGTCATATTAATACAGAAGCATCCTCAGGTAGTGTAGATTCAAGTTTGTTCAACCTATGTTCCAGGGGATAGGGCGGGGTCACGAAAGGGATCAATATTTTTACCAAAAATATACAATGTATAGAAAATATCTATAAAAATCTTCTCCTCAAGAAGAGCTAAGCCATTATTAGTCATATTAGTACAGAAACATACTCAGGTGCTGTAGATTCAATTTTATTCAAATCAGGACCCCCGAAGGTAGGGTGGGACAAAAGCAGGGGATCAAAGTTTTATAGTAGAAAAACATTTTTAAAAATCATGGGACCACATTGGGCAATCAAAGTTTTACAAAGGAATACAAAGGAAAATCTTTAAAAATAAAAAGAACAGCAAAACTATGATTAGTCATATTTATATTGAAGTAACAGAAGGTAGTGTATTCAATGTTCTGTTCATATTATGACCCCCTGGGGAAAGGTGGGGGCAATTATTTTTTATCAAATTTTTTACAAAAGTATCCCCTACTACCCAAACTCCGTCACCATAAGCGGTAAACATGTCAGGTTACTCTCTGAATTATTTTTTTGATTTGTTTCATGTTTGCTACACTCAGTAATGAACTTAAACATTGTTTTCAGAACTATCTAAAAAAATTCAGTTATTGGACTTATACAAAACTACTATAAATAGAACGCGCATCACATCCTTGTACATTACGTCCAATGAACCCTAACTCCGTCACCAGGGCCCTCTACAATATGTCAACGTACTAATTAGAATTTTTTTCCAGTTTAGTTTTTTCTCCCTTCATCTTAAACTTGTAAACATAGAAAATTAGCTTTGACGATTTAAAATTGTATTAAATTGCATTTTAGGAAAAGTATGAACAACAGAGAAAATAACGTTAATATAACGTATTTTATATGTAATAACATCATGCTACGTTATCTCCAACGTGTAGCGTATACGGGCAAATTGAAACGAAAAATAAAATATTTTTAGCAGTACTCAATATGGTATGTCATATTAATCCTTTGGCAAAGACCTTTATAAATATGACTGACATGTAAAAACGAGCATATTGACGCACTAGTCGGAGGTATCGATGGAATAGCGCATAAAGGAAAAAGTACTCACTGATTTCACATAAAATATGATAGATACAATAGATCATGTGTAACTGTTTTTATTTTTGACGCATTCTTGAACTTGACTGTAAAAATTTCTCGGCATTTGATTGTAGATTTTCAGCATGTAAAAAATGACGTCACAATCACACTCGTTTACAAACAGCGCGGAGTTTCCCGAAAGTGACGCAGTTAGGGTAGTGACGGAGTTAAGGTGTTTGGCGATATATGTAGAAAAAGGAATCTACTGATGAAGTACAGAAGGGCCATAGTTACTCAGGCGGACGTTGTTGTCCATGAGTCTCTTGTGTAAAGTGCTCCTAATTTTATAGATAAAAACCAAAATTGTCCAGTTAGAATATATCTGAGTCCGTTATTTTAAATTTTTTTTGACTTGGTTGAAGGAACATTTGGTTTTAAAAAAATTGATGAATATCTACAGATTACACTGTTTCGACGAATTCTCCGGCTATCAATGTCGCCAATCTGTATTTTTATAAAAGGAGATGGCTGTACAAGGCATGCAGAATGCCTATTGCTTCAGAAATATAAAAATCATATTCAATTTGTGTTTGTGATATGACCCTTGACTAAATGGACCAAGTATTTCTCGGAAAGATGCGAATGTTGTGTCATAAAAGTGTATTTTTAAGGTATAGTGGGTCTTTGTTTTATTGATTTTGTTAACCAAAAAATGCATATATTTACACAAACTTTGAGGATTAACTTTCAAAAAATGGGGCAAAGACCCACTCATATCGAAAAATTGTGTGATAGTATGAGAATAAAGGACTTCTATGTCACTGTTAATATTTTAATAATATACATATATACAGGCACATAAATGAAGATAAATTATATTAGAATGTTCTTTTTGTGAAGTTCTGACGGGATTTAAAAGCATCAAATATAAAATTTGCAGAATGTCTGGGGAATTTACATAAGATATGTAAAAAAAAAAAATGAAATTTCAAATATATTTTTCATAAATATGATTCTTTTTATCATTAAAATTCTGAAATTTTTAACAGCTCTTTTTGGGTCCACTCGCAAAATTAAATGGGCATACTCAATTAATCAACCACTGAGCCGCATAAGTAATTATTTCCACAGTACATGATGAATTCCGAGACCATACTGTGGTAGACAAAGAATTTTATACATTTGATCACGACAATGCTGCTAAATGCTCGGCCCAATGTGGCTCCGGGTGGTGGTACCAATCATGTACAACTACCAATCTAAATGCTCCATTCTCGGGAATCCATCGGGACTCAGTGTGGTACAACACAATACATAACGGAGGAGAGCTCATGCGGTCGTCCATGTTGATAAAAAGATTAGAATAATGTAAAGTTATTATAAAATGCCACTTCTATATTTATTCCAATAATAATAAAGGATCATGATAAAGGTTTATCATTATGTACATGTACTAGTAGGATTTGGATTGATGTTTGCAGTGGTGACGACTATGTTTTAAACAAAATGTTCTATTATTTCAAAGTGTTTGACACGGAGGACATTAAAAGACAATTAATTCTAGTTGTTTTGTTGTAAGTCATCAATATCAGTAGAATTGGTATTCCACACAATCGCTGAAAAACTTACAAATTGGCTTGTGGATTCAGCTTCAAAATTTAGATTTATAAAATTCATCGTTAATCATATTTTGTCGGCATTTGCACTGCTTCTCGTCCGCTTTTCTACATGTAAGTACACGCTAAATGATGAAAACATATGCGCAAAAGCAGTACAACGCTAATCAGGTAAAAAAAAGGAAAATTTGGACAATTTTTTTTGCACATTTATAGTGTGCTCTTAAGACATATCGTAAATTTTATGGTCGTTGTAATGACCTTGTTAGCGAATATGACCTATCATTGGATCGTATTTTGGCTGATTTGTTTTAGTCAATTGTTAGGCCTTTAATTTTATACTGAATTTGACTACAAAATGTTCCATCTTCCTAATCAATACATAGACTTACCGCGGGTGTGACCGGTCCACAGGGAATGCTTACTCCTCTTGGGCACCTTATCCCACCCGGAATTTCCAGGGGTCGGTGTTTAATGCCCTCTTTAAAGATTTGCATGCCGTATTGTTTATAGATTTTTGAGATCGATCATTTTTCTTATTCTTCAACATTTTTTACTTGACTAGAAGACTTACGTCTTCACGTTCGACAAATATTTTTTCTTCTTTTTCGAGAAAACCAAAAGCAGTGTCTATTCAAAACAAGTTAGGTATATAAAGTGTCTTAATGTTTGAGACGTTTTGTAACTGCTCAATGGCCCTGAGTGCCGAGTATAGGTATAAATTTGCATCCCTCCACCAGCAAGTGGCGGCCTCTGCATATGAGTGAAAATTTCTCGAGAGGGACGTTAAACAAATAATCAAACAAACATGCAGTTTTCTTGATCACACTCATCAACTGTACTTTGATTTGGTGTTTTACGTCAGGTTTTATCCATTGCATTCCTTTATGATTCATCGACAGATCTGATTGAGCGCTTGAACCATTTCCAACATCACTGCTACTAAAACACAACACAGCCACTGTCAATTGTTAAGAAAACTCATTGTCTACACTCTCAATTAGAAAAATGTCATCTTTATTCCCGTCAGCAACCACGGCACAATAATCCCAGCTAACAATATCTTCTTGCGTCAGATTTGTTTCTGTGCCCCTTTCATATACTATACCAATATTTTCTAGATTGTTGTCTCTATATACGTTGGCTATAGTTGTTTTTCCATCATCTCTTCTAAAGGAAACGTCACACTCCACTTTGACTTTTCCTTAATTTAAACAATTGCCAAATCGATCGCAAGATTTGTCTTTAATTGTAAAGACACATATTCCAATTTCTAACTCTTCAGCACTTGTATTTGTATACATAGAGGATATTCAATGTTTTGTTGTTGGATACGGAATTTATTTCACTAGTGAGAAAGGATTTTTTTCATATTTTCACGAGTGGGACCACTGCGAAGTATGAAGAGACGGGAACATTTTTGGGTATTCATTAGGGTGGGACAATCATGCTTTAATGTAAATCCATTATAGCATTGTAGTAATTTTGAATAATATATTTCATTATACAGAGTGATCTGGTTCCTCAAGTGTTGAACTTTATAATTCAATGCATATTAGAGGTACTGCAACCAAAAATCACAAGGAATAAAACCTTAAGATTTTGCAAAATGTTTTACATGAAGTTTTTAGTGCAATTAAAAATTAAAGACGATTGGAGGGAATGATGTAAATTTAATTCAAATCACGAATTCAAGATTATTGTTGTAAATTTTGAAGAAAAAAAAAATTATAGCAAATATGGTAAGGAATTTAATACAATGAAGCGCATTAAAGTGGTAAAATTTCCCGTTTAAATGGAACGTTCTGAGCTTTCTTTAGAATGTTGATTGTCATAAAATGACACTTGACGTCTATTTCTTTAGAAAGGAAAAACAACGGTCAAATCATCTCAAATGGTTCATTCGAATACCCTAGAACAGTATACACTTATCCACTGGTGGTGAGTAGGATAGCTCTTTTATCAAACCCGCGACAGGAACTATTCCCCGAGGGCTTGTCCGAGGGGAATAGTTCCTGTCAAGGGTTTGATGAAAGAGCTATCCCTCTCACAACCAGTGTATAAGCGTTTTATTATACTGATGTATATCATAATTTCTAAGGGTTGAATTACCTGATACTACAGTTTCATAGGCAAAACATGAAAACTTCAACAGAATATTTGTAAAAGTTTTGAGCAAGTATTTGGAGTAAGATTATAACACTGCAAGAATGAGCTGAAATCCTGATGACGTCACAATGCTACTGAAGTCGTGAATATATCATCAGTCTACAGATTGATTACAGGAGATCAAAATTGGAGGCAAAAATTGCATGAACATTTTCCAAGAGATGGGTAGCATTTATTATACTTCTGTTAAAATGTTTCTTATATAAAGTTAAGAAGGTAAAATAACTATTTTTCTATAGTCTGAAAATTTCACGTCTAACAAAGCTATACCCCGGGGTATAGTTTGTGCTATCCACCCCTCGGAAAACTTTCATTCAATTTTTGCCGCCAGCTTTGATTTCCTGCGATAAATCTGTAGACTGATGATTTCATTATGACTTCAGTAGCATTGTGACGTCATCAGGATTTCAGCTTATGCTTGCAGGGTTATCTTACTCTAAATACTTCCTCAAAACTTTTATAATTATTCTTTTGAACTTTTCATGTTTTGCCTATGACACTGTAGTATCAGCCGTAATCCAACCCTCAGAAATTATAATTTACATCAGTATAATAAAACGCTTATCCACTGGCTTTGAGTGGGATAGCACTTTCATCAAACCCTTGACAGGAACTAAAGCCCTCGGGGAATAGTCCCTGTCGCGGGTTTGATAAAAGAGCTATCCCACTCACAGCCAGTGGATAAGTGTGTACTATACCCCGGGGTACAGCTTTGCTATGTGTGGAAATTTTCTGACTATAAAAGATAGTAATTTTACCTTCTTTACTTTATATAGGAAACATTTTAACAGAAGTGTAATAAATCTAGATATTCAATAAATAGCCAATCAATGCACCGAGTAAACGCTTGTTCGACCGATACATGACGTAACTTTAGTAAACAAATTCATAATTATGTACATATTCGTTGCGATACGTGTTTTACAGAAACGAAGTCTCTAACTCTTCTAACTTTATAAAATCTCCATTTCAGTGTAACTCATATGTTGCTAGTCGCAGAAAGTGGGGTGTCCTAAAGCATTACGACGAATATTTCAAGAAATGGGCGTGTCATTATGTAGCAATTGACGTTCGATAAGAAACATCCAAACTTTTCACTAAAACGAAAAATTTTACCACTTTAATGCGCTTCATTGTGGCTGCTTTTTTAAAAGTATGAAGACGCCTTAGTGGCCGAGATGAGTTTTTTCTGTTTTATTTAAACAGCTAAGATGCTTTTGTATACTTTATTATTTTTTGAGTACAATGTTCAATATTTCAGATGGTTCATTTTATTTGCAGGCTAACATTTTATAATATTTATGATAATGTTTCTTCTTGTATTCATTTCATTGTGTAGTGTATTATGCGTTTTTGTTAATAATAATGACGGATTGTTCAATTTACTAATAAAGAGTGGTCGACACGAGTTGTATCTCTTGTAAAACACACACACACACACACACACACACACACACACACACACACACACATATATATATATATATATATATATATATATATATATATATATATATATATATATATATATATATATATATATATATATATATACGTTAAGGACCACTCCCCATAACATGAGGAACGAACCAGTGAGAAGTAAAATGCAATATCGACCATCACAATAAGGTAAAAAATAACTTATTCCGGTAGTATGTGTTAACCTTGCTTGAATTGATAAACTATAGAGGTGTAAGAGTTGTCTCACATGGTGTACATTTGAATAACCTCTCACTTGAATATATAAGAATAGGACCCGATTTTGGTTGAATAAAATTTTCATAATTGGTCTTAAACCATCGTAGTCTCACGCATACTCAAATACTTACGGTGTTTAAGGTTAAGTAGGGTTTGAGTCCGGGATAGTGCAAAAATAGTTAGTTAAATGGTGCAGAATCCTATATTTATTGCACGTCAATTTTACAAAAATTAGATTAACATAGTTTTACAGTTGATAAAGAAGGTGTTGCAGTTCTTTTGTTATTTTCCCTAAAGTTGTAGCAGTTTAAAAGAAAAATTTAAAGTAACAGAAAACGGTCATAATTTTTTTCAGATACAACGGTATATACAGCACAATGTAGAACAATATTTAGAAACTGCATATCGACTACCAGTTTGCCATTAAATGAAGTGTAAATTAGCCACAAAGCAAAATAAGTCAAGTTTTCTGTTTTTCAAATAGGGAATCCCCATTGTTCTGAAAAATTGCCTCCTTGAAACATAATGAATTTGATATACGCATAAAGAGACAAGATTTTTCTTCAAAACTGCCATTTCCGATTTTTGTTTCAAAGGGGCATATTTTTGAAATTCACAAAAATCGAATAAAAATTATTATCCGTCCGAAATGGAAAATGTGCACATAAAATAGCACATGTTACTTCAATGTCGTAGCTGGTCTAGGGGTATAGCGTGTGGACTCTTGGCGAAGATTCTTTTACCTGAGAATGGGGGTTCGAATCCTGGAATGGCTGGTGTATATACATATTTTTTTCTTAAATAATGGAAGTTCAATGTAACATCTCTCTTAAGAGAGAAAGAGAGAGAGAATGTCAGAAAGTTAATGGGTAATATTTTAAAAGCATGCAGAATTAAATTGATTTCCTTGATATTGTGATCTAAAACTAATAAGACATACATTTTATCACGCATTCTCTGTAAGCACCAAAAAATTTTGGAAACGACATGTCTCGGATTTTG